GGGGGGCGTAAAAACACTTACATTCTTTTGAAATTCAATCAAAGACCTGTAACTACTTTTTACAAAAGCTGGAACAGTGTACTTAGCTTACCCGTGGGAGATTCATAAGAGCATTTGTTTATGGAGTTGATGAAAAAGTCTACAGCCCGTCCATGACTGCAAGTTCCATTTTCCTTCTCGGCTGAGGATCAAGACAGCCTCCTATTATATCGATAGCTTTTGTTTTGTATGCTCTTATTTCTACACAACAATTTAGGTTATTAAAGATACATAGAGGTCTTTAGATTATATTCAAACAATCTGACATTAAGGAACGTATTTACAAATTCCTTTTATCTATCTATCTATCTATCTATCTATCTATCTATCTATCTATCTATCTATCTATCTATCTATCTATCTATCTATCTATCTATCTATCTAGCTAGCTATAGGAGCTAGTTCCTAGTAGAACCCAGTTGCCTGTCAAATTGCCAGTTGAATGGCACGTTTTTGGGCACAATTCAGTTTTGCACCAAATCTTTTACAGTAGGCCCTACTTGTTATTATAACAGTCTCGGTTACAACAGTATTTCAGCTATAGCGGGCTTATAAAACAATGCATAACATAGCATCTATTATAAGAGAAGTTACCATCGAAGCTGATCATGGAGAGAATTCCTAATATCTCGGGAGGACAGCCCGGCTGATGTTTCCCTCCGTTAGGGTAAAAATCCACGTCACCGATGGAATTCCTAGTGCCGAACCCTGGGAAAGACAGAACGGGTGAGAGATGGGCAGAAATGTTATAGATGAACAGAAATGTGAGGGAAGAGAAAACGGGTAAAAGAGAAACAGTTAAAGATTAACATAGAAGTCAACATTATTGTGACGTTAGCACAAAGTGGAAACGATCAATGTCGTGGCGTCGGTAGCCTAGTGGTTAGGCTACCGGACCCTGTAATCATGAGACCCCCGGGGGGGGGGGGGGGGGAGAGAGAGATTCAGCTCGGTCCGATGTTGTGTCCTTGGGAAAGGCATTTTACAAGAATTTTCTATTTGGTTCCTTCCTTTCGGAGGTGGGCATTTAACTCGAAGGTCCCACGGCTGCTCTCAAATACCCCAATAATGTTGATAGTTAAACCTATAACATTCTTAACGGCATTGTTTTGAACCAGATAAAAAGTAAACTCTACAGATAATTTGACATTTTGTTTCGGTTTTTGTTAGTTAGTTTGTTTGTTTTATTGCTTGCTTGTTTGTTTGTTTCTATATTTTTTTTTCTTTGGCTGGTTGGTTGGTTCGGTAAAAGTTAGTTCACAGCAAAGTTTGGTTTTACTTAGCAAAGTCTACAGGGTTTTAAAAAAACGTTTCGCGGTAAAAGATTCAGCTTTAAAACAGTGTGAATGTGTGTGCGTGTGTGTGTGTGTGTTTGTTTGTTCGTGTGTGTATGTTTGTCTGTGTGTGCGTGTGTGTTTATGTGTGTGTGTGTGTGTGTGTGTGTGTGTGTGTGTGTGTGTGTGTGTGTGTGTGTGTGTGTTTATGTGTACATTCCACACATCACATGTACAAAGCATTAGTCCTGTCACTTTCACAATCACACTCGTCCCCTCTTACAT